GACAGTGTTTTACAGAAATTAAGTGCAGATTCTTTTTTTAAGTTTCATTCAAATAAAATTTCCAGTGAAGATGTATAGCAAAATTTGGAGCGTATTCTACTTCCAGCTACCCTATCTGCCATAAACATGGAAACAATAAATTGACACATACAACTCCATCCATCAAAGCAGAACTTTCCACTAGCAGCAAGCCTTTTAATGAAAACACCAACAGTATGTTGGTGCAACAGCTGTGTAACAGATGTGGTCTGCAGCTTTTTATAAAAACCCTAAGAAATAGTGGGCTAGGCGAGCTGTCGTTTGTGAAATGGCATTTTCAAATGTTTATATGTACAGAAGAATCAAAAATGAGAGGAAACGGTCAACTGGGGACAAAAAGGGAGAACTGCTGCTTCAGGATATTTTTTTCTAGCGATGCAGAACCAATAGCTTTAGGGTTTACAGGAAGCTGCTTCTTTCCTTTTAGCAATTTAGACGAGCCTGGAAACAGAACAACACACGCTCTGTCCCCTCCTAACAGGAAATACTGAAACAATGAGAACTAATGTTGCTGTACTCTTCCCATCTCAAGACTAAAAAAACTGAACTGAAAGAGGCACACTGGAAGAAGCTGGTTTTGAGTGCAATCCTGGGAGAAAAATTATGAGAGTACTGAGCCTAGAAGAAAAGCTGCCTAAACTTTCAGAATACAGGAGTAGAAAAAGGATCACTGAACTCTGTACTCAGGACAGCAGGTCTACCTAAAGTCTCTTTCAGAATAAATATTTGATAAGGCTGAAAATAATTTTGTACTTGGTGCAACAGTGAATACATCTGTGCAAAGATGGATCTTACCTGGACATTAATTGTTAGATTTTCACTACTGTTAGATTTTCACATTTAAACTCAATTCTTGAGGTCAAGGGTTGTCATTTTTGTAACAGTTTATTTAGAAGAGATACAATTTGGCTGAAACTTTTATGTACCTTCAAAATATAAAAAGACAAGACCAACAATGCCACATAATGCAGCCACATGCAACCCACCACCTTTAACAGAAGAATATTTGTGGCTGTATCCCACCCAGGCCTTCTTTAAAAACTCCTAATGTTAACCCATTTAGAAACATTTTAGATTCTTCTCTATATCCAACATCCAATATTTAACTTAAAAATAATCCTAAAAATTAATCATTATTTACTGATAAGAAGATCCCCATGAGCACATGCCACTGAGACCCCTCAACAACTTCACAAAGTACTCCAGAGGTGTTGGCATTTCCTCCTCCTTCCTCCTTTATTCTACATTGCTTAGATAATTTATTTTTCGTGATTACATAATCTGTTTTTCCAAACAAAAAGTTTCTCTGTTTAATACAATCAATTTCAAAACATGATAAATTTTGCTCATTGAACAGAAACAAGTGATAATGACTTTTTTTCGGAGATTAATCTTAAGGTATTTAAAATGTCTGATAATTTCTCCATAAAAGTTCAGTATCAGCACTTGAATGCAAATGGCAAATTTAAGAACACTCTTTGCTTGACTTTTTCTTTTTTAACTAAATATAATCATACTGCATGTATACTGTCACTAGAGCTGCAGCAACTCGCTCCACGGAGCGATCAGATTCTTTTACTGGCGTTCATTGTCTGTAGTGCCCCAAAGGGTCACAGGGAAGAGAGAGGTCTGTTAAAAGAAAAGTGAGAGTGTTTGAAGGTTCTTCTCTTTTTAGCCAGCAAAAAGTTTACTCTTTCCTCCTGCACTGAGGAGGACAAAGTAGGATGTCAATTTTAAAAATCATTTTATCTTTGTGCCTGTCATTTTATGAATTGCATTTTCCTGTATTTGGACTATTTCTATTTAATCATATCTGCAGCTGTTTTGCAAATATTCAGTTTTGTACTTTGCAAGACCAAACAGTAGGGAATTCACATACACAAGCTTATAATTTACAGAGCATCTGAGCCTCAGGCTAGCAATATGAACAGAAAAAAAAAGCTTTATCTGAATAATCAATGGCATCAAATAGTGAAAAATCTAACTGTATCAAGTTAGGAGAAGCTAGAGTAATTTTTGCCACTAATGAACACTTTTGCTAGCTTACAGGGTCCACTGCATTCATTTCCTCTTAAAGATGACACTAGTAAAATTTAGCAAGATTTCCTGATAATAAGCAAAGTTAAACCCAGCTTTTTGTGTTTTTCATAAAAAATGACCAGCATAACATGGAAGAAAAAGAATAATACAGGCAACAATACAGGCTGGGGGCCAGCTGGATAGAAAGCAGCTTTGCAGAAAAGGACCTGAGGATTGTGGTGTACAAGAAACTGAACAGCAGTCAGCAGTTTGTCCCTGTGGCAAGGAGGACAATCACAACTGGGCTGTATTAGCAAGAGCATAGCCAGTAGCTTGATGGAAGTTGATTCTTCCCCTCTATTTGGTCCTTGTGAGACCATGTTTGGGGGACACTGTCCAGCTTTGGGCTCGCCAGTACAAGAAAAACATTAACAGATTGGAGCGAGTCCAGAGGAAGACCACCAAGATAGCTAGGAGGCTATGACATATGAGAAGCTGAGCCAGTTCAACCTTAAGAAGAAAAGGCTGAAGGAAGATCTTATTCTTCTCTACGGCTATCTAAAGGGAGGGTGTAGAAAAGATGGAGTCAGACTCTTCTCAAAGGTGCACAGTGACAGGACAAGAGGCGATGAAGGCAAGTTGCATTTACATTTCCATTAGACACTGAGAAAATCTATTTCACCATGAGAGTGGTCAAATACTGAAACAAATGCCCAGATAGGTTGTGGAAACTCCATTCCTGGAGATATTGAAAACTAAACTGAACAAGGCCCTAAGAAACCTCAATTAACCAGACCTATAGTGAGCTGGGGTTTGGACTGCATGACTTGCTTGTGCACAGCAAATAAGCAACTAACAGATAAGCGGTTTGCACAGCCAAATCCAGACTCTGCTTCTAGATCTTCCTGGAACTCCAGGATGTCTGCTGCTGCTGGGGAAGGATAGCTCCTAGAGACTTCCAGCAAACTCTAGCAGTGTCAATGACCCTGTCAGCTATTCCTGATCAAAGGGTGGTTTGACCTTCGGTCCTCAGCTGATTGCTGACTAAAGAGTGTCAAGCACCCATTCAACTGCTACTAGGGAGAGACCTAGTAACTGAGACACCTGCTAGGCCTAGACTGTTGCTTCCAGAAGCAGTAGTTTCCGCAGCAGTTTGCGCAGAAGAGCAAACGGACAGGGCTGGACATTTTGCTGATGGTGGCATATGACTACTCAACAATGGTGGTGATGTGCCACTGGGCAGAGTCCCCAGCGACAACTGAAGTAAATAACCCTGACACATACAGGGCTCAACACAGAGGTCCAGAGGGAGGATACAGCTTTCCAGGTCTCTGCCTGCAAGGAGAGCCCAATGCCTCTTGCTAAGCCTGGGACAGGAGGAAATAGTATCCTTGCCACCTCTGGAGTGCTGTGATTGAGGGGTTGTGTCACCAAAAATTGAGCAGAAAGAGAGCAGCACTGGATGGGCCAACCAGGGGTGGGGCACAGATGAATCTGCTATTCATGAAGAAAGAAGAACTGATTAGAAATGTAATAATCAGTAGTATCCTTGGTTTTAGGTACTTTGAACCTGTGGGAGTTCAAGTTCTTGAGGAGAGTGAGAAGTAGCAGAGTACAGTCCCTGGACTCCAGGTGACCAGAGTTCAGTTTATACAGGAAACTGGCAGGTGGGATCCCATAGAGGCAGCTCTGAAGAGTAAAGAAGCTCAGGAAAGCTGGCAAGTCGTCCTGGACAGCATCCTCCAAGTCTAAGAACGGTCCATCCCGATACACAGGAAAACAAACAGACAGATCAGGAGACTGACTTGGCTAAGCAGGCAATCCAAGATGGAGCTCCAATGCAAAAAGGGAGTATACAGGAGGTGAAAGCAGGGACAGGTTACAAAGGAAGAGTTTAGAAACATTGCTTGGACATGAAGAGATGGTGTCAGGAGAGCCAAAGCTCAAATGGAGTTGAGAACTCCAAGGGATGCCACAAGCTGCAAGGAGAGCTTCTAGCTCTCCTTTACCAGGAAAAGGCTGTGCATGGAAAACGTGGGCCTGTTGCCGAATGGGGCAGGTGATTTTGTGACAGCCTACAGATAGGGTGGAGGCACTCAATGCTGACTTTCCCTCAGTCTTCACCAGCAAGGTTTCCTAGGTCTCTGTACTTAGAGAAAGGGTTCAAAGAGGAAGGAAACTACCAGCAATAGAAGAGGGTTAAGTCAGGGATCATTTGAGAGAACTTGAGCCATACAAGTCCATAGAACCAGATGGGATGCATCTAAGGGTGCTGAGAGAACCAGCTGATGTCCTCACAAGGCCACTCTCAATCATCCTGTGGAAAGGTCACAGAGATCAGGGAAGGTCCCCAATGACTGGAGGAAAGCAAACATTACACCCAACTTCAAAGAGGGCCAAAAGAACCTTCTGGGGAACTGCAAGCCAGCCGGCCTTACTTCAGTCCCTGGGAAATTCATGGAACAAGTCATCCTGGAGCATGCTTCTAGGCATGTGAAGGGAGGGGAAGGAGGTGACTGGGAACAGTCAGCATTTACCACCCTTGGTAAATCCTTTAATTTTTTTCTTATAGTTTCTGAATTCCCCTACTCCAATTTCTTTATATATTGTTTAAAGGTTTTTCAAATGTATAAATCTATTTATAGGCTTTTAATTCCATAGTCAGTACACATGTTATTCCTGAACATTTCAAAGGCAACAAAAAATGACTTACAGTTATTTACAGCAGCTGATGAGCTGACCCACTGATTCGTTTACTTGTCAAGTTTTTTGATGCCTCACTGAAGGACAGGAGGCTGGTAGCTTTTGCTGAATGGTAAGTCATTAGGCGCACAAAACTGGTTACTTGATGTCAACAGATTTTACACATTCTCTATTTCCACTTTTTGGAACAGATTTTTAAGAAGCTGAAAAAGCAGCGGATGTTTCCTCTGCAGTCCACATACCTCCCTCTCTCTCTCTCTCTATCTTCAGTCATGACATGAAAAAGTATGTACTGATCCCCCCCACTTAGGGATTCGCTCTTTGCATTGGCAAATACAATGTTTCTATGTTAGAGTACTTGTATGGAAGTAGAAAAAGGGTAACCCTCCTGAAAAACTGAGTGGGTAAACGAGCAACACACATGCAGAAAAGGGCAGAGACAGTGACCATAAAGGTAGAACATACGACATGACAGTGTGCAAATGTCACATTAATACCACAGCTCATGTGTATATTTATTTTGAATGTGGCATTGCTGATATGGAATAAGCTTGGAAAAAAATCCCAAAACAAAATATCCTCCCTGACACAGGATCCCCAAAAGTAAACTGAAGGAAAATTAAAGGAAAAGGAGGAGATTATAAAAGGCAAATGGACTAAAATGAAATAATGTAAGCAGAGGGACAGAAATAAGTTGGAGCAAACACCCTGACAGATGAAAAAATAATCTAAATTAAGATCTGAACAAAGTAGTCATCAGAATAACCAGTAACAAAATCCCGGTTGCAGTCATTGGCTCTGCCATTCCTTTTCCTGGGAATATCTTTCTTTCCCAAGCCTCAGGCTCAGCAGACATAGTCCTTCTTGAATAATTTAGGATCAGAAGATACCAAATGGCATAATTTAGGCCAGAGAAATCTGATATTCTCCCTATACACTCCCCTTTGATGCAACTGTATCTTCTATAGCTTCTCTCCGTTTGTTCTGGTTCTCCTTGTGGATAATGCCACAGTGTTCCACGTTTCTAATGCTTTCAGTATCACTATCTTCAAGATTACTGAGTAGATTCAATGACAGACCAATGTGTCTTACTTGGCTGGTTGTGCAAGCCACAGTAGTATACAACATCAGTAATGCAAGGTCTATGTTGGCACACTTTATCCTTCAGGGTATAATTCACAGGAGGGATACAGACCTCTAGAGCATCAGTTTTTTTGAGTTCTAGTTTCCTGAGAAACCAGTCTATGCGCAAGCATCCATGCAGAAACATATGATATGCCCTAACTGTTCTTAATATTGCCTGCTGTGGTAAAGCATTTTACAATGCTGTAGAGAATCTCAAGCCAAAAAACACTCTACACATGAACATCTAAAAATGGTCTAGCAGAATCCGAATGCTATTGTTCTAAGAGATTAGTTAGCATAATAATATTTAAATCTAGCCAGGCTGGAATTAAATAAAAAACAGAGACAAAGATTACAAAACACAGACAATTGATTATTAAATGACTTTTGCATTCAGTCAGTTTACCAAGTAAGGCTGCCCAATGAAGAGGAGTCCGAAACAAGTTGTCATAAGATGTCACGTTGCAGCCTTCATAAGAGGTCAGGACATCAACAACAGCTACGTTCCCATCAGCAACAGCAAAATGAAGGGGAGTTCGCCCTTCGTAGTCTTGCCAGTTAAGCAGAGATTCTGTAGGTGCAGCTTCCTTTAAAAACATACAAAAAATTAAAAATATTTAAGCTGAAGAGAAAAACTATATCCTCCTCACAGATTTAAAAAAGAAAAATCTTACAATAAGGAGATAAACTGTCCATATTCAGTAGAAGATAGCTCTAGAACCAAATATAGGTGACCTTCAAATATTTCTTGCATCTTTTTCATAAGAGCTTCCCAATTATTGTACAAGACGTGATTTTTGGTACACACCCTGTGATCTGTAGCGCAAGTGGCTCCTTACACAGGAGCCTTAAAAGACTAACTGAGGCACTTGTGAAAATAACTAGATCTTTTAAGTTGAACATGGTACATATATCTTTGCATTTTTCTCCTAGGACACACTGCTTTTGTACAAATTTACCTTATGGTTTTCATCATAACACTTTTCTAACATCTTAAAATCCCACGATTATCAGAATATTCCCAAAGGAGGTGTCAAGGTCTCCAGCTGGCTGGACAAAAGTAAGATAGAAAGTATTTCTAATGAATACAACTACTATAGGCTAAATTTTGAATAGAAAACATCTTAAAAAGTATTGTGATTAGTCATTTGATCATATAACAGGGCATGAAGAGATATAACTTGATTTTTCACCACATTTTCTTAAAGAAGAAAAAAAAAACACCAAACAAGCAACTCCCAAACTCCCCTGCTGAATTACTTTCACATAAGGCCTATACCTATATAATTTCACATTATAGTAGTTTCCTCTCTCATCAACTTTATTCTAGACAGATTTCTTTTCAACATCTTCTCAGGCTAAAGAACAGAACAGGTACAAACAAACATCGTTTTAGCACTGCAGAGATCTCCAAACTGCCGATGTCATAAACCCTCATGAGGTACAAAATTTAAATTTCATTTTCTTGAAAAAAGAGATATCTCAAAAAAAAAAAAAGGAAAACAAGAAAATATAGGAATTCAGGTTGCAGGACACTAAACATCTGGAGTACAAGCAGAATGTTAAAATGAGGACTTAAATAAGCTATAGGGAGAAAGCCTACTATTATCTTCAACAACTCAGAACTGAAGTCAAGAGAATCCTGTGCCACAGAAAAAAGGAATTTAGTCCTGAAATTTTAAGCCACAATAACTTTCAACAATAGCATGAGCCTGAAACCACAGGGATAATTGAGGGAAAAAAAACATCCTGAAAATATAGTGCCAGACCATGTCCTATAACAAGTTTATGAAACAGCAGGGGGAGAGAAAGAGAAGAAGGGAGGAGGAGAAAGACTCTGATCAATGCATCTTGCTACCAAAACAGACTTTTCCTACTGATCTCAATAGCTCCACGAGCACTTGCATTATTTAAAATGCAGTAATTATTACGTATAAAAATAACATCTCACATTGAAGATGATAAATCAAGAAATTGAAAGTCAAGAAATTCCAGAATTATGGTTTCTATCACAATGTTAATTTACCAAGGTTGTATATTCTATAAGTTTTATTTAGTAGATTAAAAAATAAATACATTTAGAGCTATATTTAACCATAATTCCTAAGTGCAATCTGGCTAAATCTTACTGTCTTACTTTTTAACAAGGCCAACTTAAACTTCCTAATATTTGATTACTTCATTTTAATTCAAACATCCACATATTTTATAAACTATACATAATCACTATGAAAATGCTCTGTCTTAGGTATTTGAAAAATCTGTTGCAGTACTTTGTATCAGTAGTATTAGTTAGCAATACCGTGCTAGAAAAAAATTAACGTACTCAAAATATACTGTAGTTCATTATGATACGCAGCCACTAGCACAATCACAGGTTAGAAACATAACAAGCTGATAAATGTGAATTTGTCTTACTAAAAATAAAATTGAAGTTAATGTTGTTACATATACAAACCATAATAATCAAAGCATGAATACTGCTTATTCTAACAAGTATTCAAAAG